AAGTCAGATTGTTGGGGTAGAGGGATTATGAAGTCAGATTGTTGGGGGTAGAGGGATTATGAGGTCAGACTGTTGGAGTAGTGGGATTATAAAGTCAGATGTGTGTGAGCAAGGTTTAGTGCCGTGGCTGTATTTCTCCAACAAACTCATTTAGTCTATTTTAGAAACGCCAGTCATCTGGAGTAAAAAAAAAAGGTATGCCATTTCATGCCATAAATTATCTCAATCATTAAAAACCAGTAGCGGGCTGGGCTAGGCTGGAGGTTGCTCAGTGGTTAGAGCACGAGCTGCTTCTGCAAAATCCAGAGTCAGATCCCAGCACCCATTCACAAGGTGGCTCACAACTGCCTGTGCCTCCAGTTCCCAGCAATCTACACCCTCTTCTGGCGTGCACAGGCACTGCACAGAGTGGTGTGCAAACATGCATGCAGGCAAAACTTCCCACACACAGAGTGGTGTGCAAACATGCATGCAGGCAAAACTTCCCACACAAACAGCAAAAGAAGTAAAAGAGTAATGGACACAAACTATAAGACCAACAATAACGAAAAACGTTCAGAATTAAAGTGATGAGGCAGACCCAGAGAGTGGATGGATACAATAGTGAAGGAGGACTCGGTTTTTACATTCTGTGTGTGTGTGTGTGTGAGAGAGAGAGAGACAGACAGAGACAGAGACAGAGACAGAGGTGGTATGTATGAGTGCATGTGTATATGTGTGTATATGTGTGCACATGTCCGTATGTGTGCATATGTGCATGTGTGTGTGTACACATGCACACATGGGTATCACAGCAAGAGTGTGGGGTCAGAGGAAATGTTACAGGAGCTGGTTTTCCCCTTCCACCAGGTAGGTTCCAGGGATCAAACTCAGGAGCAAGCACCTTTACCTGCTAAGTATTCAGTATTCTCGTCAACACCCAAAACATTTTTAATGGAACCAATTTAAAAACACAATGGAAAGACAGATAAGTGCATAAGGGTTATAAGAGGCAGAAGAAAACTGTAAGAAAAAGTAAAGTGGAAAACGTCAGTGTTTCAAAAACCATAGTGTAAGAAAGGTGTTTATGGAACTACCGGCGAGGCTTGTAAAAGAGGAAGAAAAGTAAAGACAGCAACGAGGCGGATCAGAATTCACACACACACACACACACACACACACACACACACACACACGGTATTTAAAGAGCAGAAAGGAAAAAGCAAAGCATCCATTCCTGGACTACTGGACGCTGCCAGAAAAATCAACCGTGCTATAATTAAAATTCCAAAAAGAGAAGGCACTGACAATGGGATGAAGAAATAGCTGAAAGAAAGATGGCCAAAAACGTCTCAAGATTAATTATTAACAAACTACAAACCAAGGAAAGCCAGACAACCCAACAAAATAAACACTGACGCTCTCACCGCCCTAGCAGGACAGGAATAAAACACAGTACGGGAACCCAAAGGGCACAGCACGCGGAACGTGAGCCATGCAGACCTCCCCAGACAGGACCTGAGGATCGCTCTCCAGAAACAGTTCTGTTATGTAGTCCTCACATATCTGTGTGGATTTCAAGAGTAAAAACATTACTTTCAAATGACTGAACAAATGGCATAGCTAAACTGCCTTAGAACTGAGTGCTTTGTCCGAACACCTGGACTTAAGAAGCAAACTCTTAGTCTAACCAGCCCAGAGAAAGACTCGAACCCAAAGACAAACCCTGCACACACCTGAGACATAATTACAGAACTGTCTTACCACATTCTCCCCTTAAGAAGAATGCGGAGTGTAGAGCTGTAGGCCTACATATTAGAGTTTTCTAAATTTTGTTCTCAAACGTTGCCAATTCTTTCTTCAATTTTATTGCCAAAACAATGCAGAAGCCCTTCACCATAACCCTGCCTTTTCTGTCTGCATCCTACCATCTCCGTCCAGCACACAGAAACACATCCCGACTTCACATACGTCCACTGCATTACAGAATACAGGGTTAAGTTTCTAATGACCTTACAACGGCATTGTCATGGCTCTATTACTGACCAATACTCCATCGGTATGCAAATTTAGTTTTGAGTCAATTATTAAATATGTCTTCACACATTAGTTTTGTTTTCTCCTTTTAGGTTATAAATTTAATGTAAACTCCCAGATACTGAGCAATTAACCCAAAAATCATAGGCTGCCTGACAGATCATGTGATTAAGTTTCCAAAGGAGCTAAACTTTGTTATCACACAGCTTTTAAATCCTTTCAAATGTATCAATGTTCACTTGGACTTTAAAATCAGAGCTAAGAGCTGGGAGCAGGAGAGGTGGGCACAGTGGTCATGCAGGGCCAGTCAGTCAGCACTCAAAACGTGAGTAGCGTGTGTGTGCACGCGCGCACGTGTGTGTGTGTGGTTGGGAGTGCTAGCATGTGCGTGCACGCATGTGAATGCATGCATAAGTGTGTGTGTGTGTCTGTGGATGCGCACATGTGTAAATGCATGCAGTGTGTGTGTGTGTGTGTGTGTCTGTGGATGTGGGCACATGTGAATGCAT